ATTTTCCTATAAATGACTTAAATTTATCCTTCCTGAAGGGTGAGTATACTCTGCTGAAGACAAAGAGGTAAGGTTAGAAAGGAAAACAGGCCCTAGCCAATTCTAGGTATAAAAATGCTGTTAAGTTCTCAGATCTACGTTTAACAAAGTACTCTTTCTAAAACGGTGTTTTCCAACTGCATTACAATACAGTGCTGATCCATGAAATCAATAACTCAACAGGGAAAACTGTATTAATGAAATAGAACCAACCAGAATACAGTAAAACCTATCAAGAGTACTTAAAATCTATTAATGGTCAAGAGTCATTTCGTAAGTTACTTGTGGGTGTATACACCTCAGTATGTAGACAAGACAGTATGTAGATAAGACAAAAAAAATTGATTTATGGTGGATCATAGTCAAAAGAAAATAAAAGCCACTGTTATAAAAGCATTTGTATTATCAGCCTACACAAGTACCTACAAGAAACAGATGAGGGTAGAGTCAGATTTAAATAAAAGTAAGATACAGTTATGATGAACAAAATATCCAAAGTAAGTTTGGCATTTTTAATTTTATTCCCAAAAAATGAAAGCTAAACAATACAGTCACATACCTACCAGTGCTGTGCTTTTACTCAATAGATATCAACTGATCAGTTGTGTTTGAATAATAATTCATCAACTAACTCAGAGGATTAACAGCAAAATGATTGACAACATTAGGTGTTCCTTACTGCAGAAGACAGAGGACCCTCTCCTGGAACAAAACCCTGCTCTTACACTGCAAAAGGGGAAAAGTTTAAAGTAACACATCACTGTCTTTGAGAAAGTAGGTTTTCAAAATGTGTTCTTAATATGAGTTAACCATAAGATTCTGAGACCAGGATTTCAAATGGAAAAATGAACGCATTCCCTATGATGTCACCACTGAATTAATTACCTGAGTTGAAGAGAGTGAGCACCACATGGCCATAGTTTGAACACAAAGTTTCTTTAAAAAATATCAAAGCAAAATAATTGGATGGAGATTTTTCTTAAAATAAATAAATAGCAACTCCATTCTCACACAAAGGGGTATAAGAACAGTAAAATACAGCAAAATGAAAAGAGCAGTCTTTGCCATTTAGTCTGAATAGCTAATAGTCCATACAAATAGCCATTTTCAATGATAAAAACCACAATTCTCTCAAAGGCTAATAAACATGTATCTGTAAAAAGAGTCCAGAAATAAAATGTATCACTCCTTAACACCAATATTCAAGCATATTAAAGCATCTCTATTACCCATGTAACTGAGAGATTTCTTTCCTCCAGTGTAGTTGTTGCTTAAAAATGACCACTGTCACTATTTTTAGCTGTTGGTAGAGACAGAAGTTTTATACAAGTTAAATTATGTTCATTGACATCAGTGTAAAAGTATGAATGTCCACAACAATGACTAGGCCCTTAACCAACATGACAACATATTTATTAAAAAAAGTTTAAACCTCTAGGAATGACTCAGCCAAGCTACAGACAGAAGTGGAATTTATTGGTCATGCTAAAAAGGTTGGGAAAACATTAATCCATTTCTTCACACACAAGAATAACAAAAATTTGTACATAGCTTTGGCATCTGGTTGGTTTTCTTGTACAGTACTCAGCAGGCCTAGAAATGAAATTTCACAGCTCTGGCTCAGAACTGAAGGAACACTGCTACTCAGAAAGTCTGACCTTTCTATCAAGGATTGGGTTAGATCTTAAACTGACCCTATCTGCTCATCTGCAGTTCAGGAAGGCTTGCTGCCCCTGAAGGAAAGTGCAGCATTTCACGCTCTTGGCCTACGAAAGATTGCACTAGACAAGAATGACCCCATCAACTTTCTTCTTCTCAGTCTGCTAATACTGAGATCATTCATGATTCAAGCTTTACAGACAAATCCCTGATTTTGTACCCAAAGCAGAGCCTGACTAGATCTTTGTTCCTGTGCATTCTATACACTGTCTTAGGATTCACCTCGATAGTCTGACTCCCTCTTTCCCCCTTTGGTCCTTTTCCTCAAAAATCCAGATACTTCTCTCCTTCCAGGGCCTCCCTCAGATACTTATGTTAGGGCCTCCCTGCTCTTTCTAGCTTCCAAGTCTCTGGTCTAAAATCAGGGTCCTTATACTATTGTGCACAGTTTGTGATATTACGTGACAGTAAAGATGAAAATACACATCACATTTAGAATAGTTCCTGGGATGTAAAATAAACCTATAAATGTTAAATATGTCACCCTAAATACCTCTCTTAGCATTCATATCTGCTTATATTGCATTATAGTTATCTGGTATGTTTCACCTCCCTGTCTAAATTGAAACTTCATTAATGAACTTTCTCCAGTCCTTACATTTATGTACATGGCTTTATATTATATTTATATACTTATATTTTCCATACTACTTTATCATATATATTGTAATACTACGTACATATTCATGTATATTGATTATATTCATATTATTCATTTTACCCATCACACTGGAAAGATACCCATCACCTGTATCTGGCATTTAGCCCTTATTGCCTGAATAAATATAGTATAAAATGTGACCATTTAAATCATGAGTCCCACAGTGTGGACACAGGAACTGATTTAACTTCAGTTGTATGTTTCCCAATCCTCATCTAGTCCAGTCTCTAATAGGGAAAAGTAGTACAGAAATGCTATTGCACTCTCCTGGGAAGGCATTTCTTCCTCACTTTTATCTTGGCGAGCTGGTTAACAATGAGAAATCCTAGCTAAAATTTGCAAAACAGGTCCGTGCTGAGACCAAGTTCCTTCCACTATGGTGGTATTGGCCCCAGCAGCGACTGACTACCAAGTACATTCTAGGTTTCTCACTAGGAGGAACCCCTCAGTGTTCTTTAGCTGGCCTACAGTGGGGGCACACTAGAGATGTCACTCACACCTGTGCTGTCTCTCTAATCACACTATCATCATGACATAATTAGTACATTATGTTTTAGTAGTATTTTCCCTTAATTCCATCAGGTTAAGTAACACCTGGACAATTTGTGAAAGTCAAATGTTTAAAGGAGAGTCCAAATTATTTGACCTACTAAATGGTTGTGTTGAGGCTCCACATTGAAACCAGACCCCAGAGTACATATTGGATTGTTCCATTTATATTTTTAAAGAAACAGGCAAAACTAACATATCTCTTAGATATGAAAGCATTAGTTACTTTAGGAGGAGGCAGTCACTGGAATAGCAAGAGGTGTTTCTATTTCTTAGTCCAAATGTTACTTAGACCTGTGTGTGTTCAATTCATGAGAAGCTAAGTTTAAGACAGCTGTGCTTTTCTGTACACATATTTTATCACAATAAAAAATAAGTTTTGGGGTCAAATCTGCCTGAAATAAAAAACTAAACTTGGAACTTAAGCATCTTGTAATTCAACTATTTGTTGTTACTTTAAAGGTTTTGCTATGTCTCATCCTAATTGAATATAAAGGGTACCATGTTTTCTTGCCCAGATTTTCCATGTGCCTTTCTTTTCTTCAGTCCTGACTTAGTCTATGAACCAATAATACTTAAAAAGTTAGAGAGTTAAACTGCACAATGGCACGTGGCTATAATCGCAGCATCCTAAGAGGCTAAGACAGGTTCCAAGTTTGTGACCAGCCAGGGCAACTCAGTGAAAGTCTGTTTCAAACTAAAAACCAAGAGAGCTGATGAATCACCTCAGTATAAAAAAGCCTTGGGTTCAATCCCTAGTACCACACACATGCACCCAGAGGAAAAAAAGCTTAAGAGTTAAGCTCTGAATTTCTACCTTATTTATGATACAACATCCTTACAGAAGCACAGGAAATAACTTGTCTAGAAATGAGAGTATGCCTGGGATGCTGCTCCCTTAGTTATCTCCTTCAAAAGTACTCTGTAACCTGGGAGAATTGCATATTAACATTCCAACCCCAAGATCAATAACTACAGCGTAAGAGGAACAATGTAAATAGAATTCCTCGGGTTTAATTTACTAGCAGAAAATACAGACCAAAAAAAGACGACAAGAAAATTAAGTTCATCTTAAAGGAAAGACCACTTTCCTCCACATAGATAAAAGCAAGACTAATACACAACAAGAAATTGATTTTACTGAACCATTCCCACTCTTGCCTATTTGGGCCCAACAAAAGTATCACCCACTATGTTAAGCCTGGACTCCATCTGAAAAGAAAAAAATGATGCCCTGTTTGCAATTATTATCACTTCTTCCTAAGCAAACCAACTGACCCCTGGTACTCAACCTGTGCTACTACCAAGGAATCTGGTTAGAATCAGGATATCAGAGAAATGATGGTCACCTAAAAACTAAGGTTGTCAGAATTAACTACTCAGACTCAAGCAGTGCTGAGTCCTCCAAGCAAGATAAGAAACTGCCAGCTACCAGAAGAAAAGGTATTTTGGAAATAATCAAAAAGAAATATTCTTCCTTTCAAAGGTAACATTGGAGCTGACAAGAAACAAAGAAATAAAAATGTATGAAAACTGCAGTACACTTAAGAATAATCTTTTAACTTCAACACATTCTCAATTTCAAAAGATAACATTTAATATCAGACACTTTTGTCTCTAGATGACTACATCGGTTCAAGGAACAGTCTTTATTTGTTTCTCTGAAAACTTTTGCAAGTTGCACCTGCTTGCACCTCACCGTAAACAAACTAGGGGATTTAAACTAACACAATCTTTATTGTTTTTCTGCAAACTTTCGCAAGTTGCACCTTCTTCACACCTCACTGTAAGCAAACTTGGAGATTTAAACTAACAGAATATTATAGCCCCCCCCCCCGCCCAAATCATTCTCCAACTAGTTTAAAAATGAAAGTAGTTTAAAAAGTGGGAGCCACGATCAGGAATATGGGAAGAAAACCATACCCAGCTACCTTTAAAGGCAGAAACCATGACTCATCAAAGTTTTTGGGGGGGGACGCATATGAGACTTTACATTTGTCTTGAGTTCACCTTTAGCCCAAGAAATGCTCACCGAACTGGGAAATGGACCGCTTAAGGGTTTGTCCTGGTTCTGCGAGGACTAGAAGTGAGGTCTTCAGCAAAATCCCTAAAGGCACTACGATTTCTCATCGCAGGTGATGTCCAAGTCTCCTCTGGCCTCCACAGTTTGTACTCAAGTCTAGGAATGAGACATGAGGGGAACCGGTCCACTGAGGGAACTGCAAACCTTCCCTCTCCTTACCTACTCCAAGATCCTGGGCCCCAACTTTCAAGAGATGCTGCTGTCTTGGAAGAAGGTGGTTCTGGTGGATTGGTAAGAGGATGCAGGGGCCCTTCTGCTTGTAAAAAGGAGCCCATAACCGCAGGAGTCCAGTCCCTACCACTCAGCTCTCTATGAGTCCCGAAGTAACCCCCTAACCTGGGCCCTGCTTTAAATGTTCCAGGGATGGAGGCCAAGCCCAAGCCAAGGGAAACCTAGCTTGAGGTCGAGGCTCCCAAGGTAGCAGAGCGCGCGCGGGGCGGGGGATGATGGGGGCCTGCGGGGCAGGACAGAGGCGCTGGGGCCGAGCGGGAGGACAGCAGCCCTCTCTGGTTCCTTACCGCGGTAGGCTGCCCGCGGAGGTCAGGCCCTGGCCCCCCGGGCTCCCAGGCAGTTAACGAGGGGCGGGCCCGGAGGCGGAGGCGACCGGGCCGCTGGCCTGCGCGTCGCTGCGACCCCGTCACTCCCCGCCGCCTCCGCCCCTAACCTTCAGCCGTGTCCGCAGAAGCAGCAAAACAAAACAAACTCGTGCCGGCTTCCTGTTGTGCAACCCAGTCCTGAGGAGGTCGGAGGCTTAAAGGGCGCCGCCGCTGGAAGCCGGGGCTGCGGGGACCCGCGCGCGCAGCCCGACCCGGTGGGAGTCCGGAGCCCGAGAGCGCCGCAGCCCCGCCGCTGCACCCCTGAGGCGCAGCGCCCCGCACGCCCACCCGGCCCCGGCGGTGCAAACGGCTCGCCCCGGCGTCCCCTTGCTTCCCGCCTCCCAGGCTCCCCCACCAGGTCTCGGGACGCGAACTGTGGAGCCAGAAACCTTCCCCAAAGTTTCTCCCTCCAGGTACCTCATTGAATCATCCCTGGATGACAAATCAGCCAAGGCCAAGATTTCCAGACACAGGGGTGATTTCCTCGTCCTCGAGGTGACTTGTCAGCTCCAGTGAGTAACTTGGAACTGTCGCTTGGGGCAAGGTGTGTGTCTAGGAGAGAGCGCAGCTCACTCATGCTTTCCAGAGAGCGGCTCCGACAGACTTCAAAATACACACAGGGTCATTTATAGGGACTGGAGCCTTGCGCGGGACAAAGTCCCCGAGACTGAGACATTTTCCAAACAGTGCTGACATTTTGTCGGGCCGCATAAAAATGTAAACGCGAGGTGACGAACCGGCGGGGAGTGTCGGTGTCTGAATGTGTCTGCGTCCGTGGCGTGGGAGGTCCGAGTTATAACCTAGCGGCTGCTGGTCGCCCGACCGGCCCCCACGACTAGTATACCTACCCCCAAGCACAGGACCTCCGAGACAATGGGGTACCAGCTTGGGTGAGGCACGGGGTGCAAAACAGCCTTCGTGGAGCTTTACAAACACGTGGAACTTGAAAAGGCAACTACACTCCGTGCGAGCGCTAAAGACCTCACGTCACCCCATCAGTTCCCACTTCGCCAAAGTTTCCCTTTGGGGACATCTGAGGGTTGGGGTGGGGACCGTGCACCATGCCCGTGCGTCCTGTAACTTGCCCTGACTGTGGAGCCCCCTAGAACCTACAGTTTACTTTTTTAAAAAAAACCACAAAAACTCTTCCTGATGAGCGAAACTTTAAACACCGTGTTGATTTCCTTCTGTCGCCTCCGCTCCAGGCTTAAGGAACTGACAACAGTGCAGCCTGACTCCTTTTTGAGGGCTGCTACCAACCTCAATAAGCGTAGGTCTCTAAATAAAAAAACACTTCGGAATCTGGGGGTGGGGTGCGCGTCTCCTTAAACCCGCCGGACCGCCACCGGCTCAGCTCAACCTGGAAAACTATTTCTAATCCCCACTAGTTTGTCCCGAGCCTTCACTCCCCCACACTCTCGCACTCTCGAGCGCCTCACTTCTCCCTGTCTCTCGCCTGCGAACAAAGTTCCTATGGCATCCACTTACCAGGTAACCAGGATTTCCACAACAAAGCTCGGCGTGCGTGTGGCTTCCCCGGGCCGGCCGGTACGAGTGACAGCAGACGTCTAGCGCTGGCGCTGGCGCGGAGCAGCTCGGTCTCCAGCCCTTCAGCGCGCTCCTCGGGCTCTGCCTCCTTCGGAAAGGAAAACTCCCATCCAAGCCGGGGGACGGAGCGCGGAAACCCGGCCCAAGTGCTGTGTGTGCGCGCGCGTCTGCGAGGGCAGCGGCGGCAGGAGGAGGAGGAGGCAGAAGGGGGGTGGCTGGACCCTCGGCATCAGCTCCTGCTCCCCGCTGCACACATTCATGCGCAAATAATGTTTTTCAGAAAGTTAAGTTGCGACTTTGTGCTTCGCCTGCCCTGCTCATCCTCGCCCTGCGGCAGGGGATGTGTCTAGGGCCGGCCCGAGATGCTGGTTAATTGCTACCGGCGGGTGCAGTCAGGGGAGCACCGGGGCGAGCTTGGACGGCGGCCAGCTGCGTACCCGGGCGCGGGGAGCGCGGAGGTGGCGGCCCCGGGCGCCGGTGTCAGTGCACGCCGCGCTCTGGGCTGCCCGGGCGGCGCAGTGTGGACGCGGTCGCTGAGAGGGGAAGGGGAAAGGAGGGCGAGAGGGAGGGCGGCTGCCCAGCGAGCAGTCTGTGTGTGAGCGGCTGCGAGGCCCGGCCTGTAGCCAGCTGCTTCCTGAGTGCGAGCGCCAGAGGGGGGGCTGGGGGCGGGCTCGCTGGTCACCGGGCCGGCCAATTCGAAGGCCGAGCCTGTGTCTCCCTCTCCACACGTTCACACACACGCACGCACACACACGTGCAGTTTCCGTGCGCGCCTAAGAGTCCCAGAACTCCAGAACAGGGTCATAGCAGGAAAACGCGAAGCCTTCACCTTGGCCTTATTGGTTGCACTTTTATTTTTTTAACATGAAAAAGTGTCAACCTTCTTACAGAATTTGATGTTAATTATAAAGAAAAAGAGAAAATATATATATCTAATAGTAAAAGACAGAAAGCAAAAATGAAAACAACGCAAAACGGGTGCACTTCACTCGTTTTGAATTGAAAAGTGAGAGGTGCTGTTGGCGGCTTTTCAAGGTGTTTACCAGGAGTGTAGCTGGGGCATGAATGTGAATGCAGGATCTGTTGCTAAATGGAGGCCCCCACGCTGCAAGATGCTGATGCATCTCTATATCAAGTGCTTTCTCCTTAAGAATTCAGCGCCTTCATACCTTGCTTAAGCTATGCCCCCCATCTCTTTTCTGTTTGGCCTAACTAGATCTCTCAAAAAGCTTGCTTTTAATGGATCTCCAGGTACACTCCCATAGAAGGGAGGATTTTCACATTAGGAATCAATGTATGGATTGCACACATATCTTCCATTTAGGCCTTTCTGTAGCGAAACTATTACGCACCTTTGTGACTGAAATGAATGAAGGGACCACAGAAACTTAACAATTATACCAGTTCGTGGACTGTATTCTGTTCTCACTCAAGCATAAATTTGTGCTGAAGTAGTAGATAGGGGGGCTGGGGATTTAGCTCAGTGGCATAAGTACCTGCCTTGCAAGCAGGCAGTCGTGAGTTCGATCCCCGGTACCGGTAAAAATGGAAAAAAAAAAAAAAAAGTAGTAGATAGGATGACCAAGACGATAGAAAATGATTTACCGCAGCCAGCCAAGCCAAAAAAGAAGCAGTTTTCATGTTTCTGAGTTCAGCAGAAATATTACTAGACTTGGTTTTTATCCATGATAGCAACGTCACCTAAAGAATACAGTTTTTATGATGCTTTTTCTTTTATGATTCCCTTTTCCTTAGGACACAACCCCATCAGAATGTCTATCAGCAGAAGTGGAGAGAAAAAAATCAGTATTTATGATACATCATTACAGGGTTTTCTAATCTTTTCCCTCTCTTCTGTTTCCTTTTTAATATAAGTAACCAAGACCAGGATGCTGATAGATAGGTTCGATCACACATAAGAAAAAAGAAAATACTCATAAAATGAAGCATGCAGCAACATCACAAAAACAAAGAAACCAAGTGGTGGAAATTGCCATGACTATTCCACTGTGGCTAGTTATTGCAACATGCTTGACATTCACATAAAAACTCCTCCTCATTAACTCCAGCTTTCAGGAGCAGAGCAAGATGAGAACACTGACCATTCACACATCATGGGAAATTCTGTTCATCAGACTTATGCCCAGGAACAATACAAGTCTGGATGGAAGCTAGGAAAAACACTATCCAATGACCCCCCAAAATAATTTCAATTACAATGGTTTTGACACACGAAAGGTTTACAGACCCTTCCAGAACTTCCTATTTGGTGGGAATAGTGGAGCTGGGAGAGAAAAACATAGTATTACACCCTATGTGAATCAGTGGCTAGTGGGAATAAAGTGTTGGGAAACCTAGGGGTAATCAACCTGGAGATCCCCCAAATTCTCTTAGTTTACATAAATCCAAGGATATAGATGGTCTTTTATTTATGTAAGACCTTTATAAACCTGTAAAATTCTAAGGACATTTACTATAAAATAGGTACAGAGTGCTTCAATTGGATTTTTTTTCTTTTTTGGCAAGAATATAGATAGGTCTATAGAATGTCATTATATTCCCTGAGAATAATAAAAATGCAATGCTACCAGTATAACCCCAGAGTGACTCAAGTGAGATCTGTACCTCTTGGGGTGAACCGGTCAGCAGGGAACTAAGAGGTAGTAATGAGAGATAGTAGGAAAGGAAGTAAAGTTGTTCAGAAATCACATTCTTCCCTCCCCATGAGCTTTCCATCCAGGGACCAAGCCCTGGTGGCCTTTCAGCCAATTAGGAGGGAACTACAGCCTAGTCAGTATCTTTCCTCTAGAGACCCACATCGTATATGCCTAAACTGCTGAGTCACCTTCCTGACTCAGCAGGCAGGGCCCTGCTGCCAGCTCATGTCTAGTTTTCATTCATTTAAGAAAAATTCAGTGAGTATGTACTACTCTGTCCAAAGACTGAGATGAAAGGAATTTATACTTGTAAGCATCACACAGGGGAGAAGATTACACAAAGTCTTTTTCATCAGTGCTAGGATTATAGCAACCCATCAAGGAGTGGGGGCTCTTTGCATATATTATTTCATTTTTCTTCAAAGAATTGTATGGTATTAGTAAACTTCTGTTTAGGAGCTAGAATGCTAAAGCTCAGTAAACAAAGAGATGGCCAGGTAAACTTGTGGTCCCACAAAATAACTGCATATTTGCTTTGAATATGTGCAAAGCATATTGCAGGAGTAAAAAGGACAAGGTGGCTTGTAATCAGTGTTGGATGAGCACAATGAAGTATGCAGGGAGTGTGGGGGACACCGCAATAATTTTCTACCACGTGGTATGCAATAGCCTGGTTGTTTGACCAGGACCCCAAATAATGAGTAGAGAAGTGACAAGCAAAGCAGACCATCACAAGTGGAGGGATCAGCATCAAAAAGGACCCCAGGCATAGATTCTGTGTAGCTGCTCATACAAAGCCAAGGTCAAAATAGGAACATTCAGGGCCTCATAGCTATAGCAGTAGAACATTCTTAGAAGGAACATGCTAACTGCAAGACTTCAGGAGAACTATTATTTGTGTCAATCTGAGTAATCTCATAGCAAAATATTTCCAAATGTACAAACAACTGTGATCAGTTTCCTACTCTTGTAGAATGTCTATAGTGAGAGATAAATTTGAGCACCAAATTACAGATAAGTTGAGCTAACAGCACTGGTGATAATATGTCTATCAGAAAACATAGTCACATACCAGGTGGCAACAGTCCAGTTAGGTAGAAATGCAGTGGAAAAAGTCAGTGTTTGCCAAATTAAAGAGGAAAACCGAATGTGTCAGATGGAAAATTTCCATTTTACCTCCCTCAGGAAGTGGTATCAATAGTGGAATGCATTACATTTCACTTATGTTATCAGTATTTGATACTCTAATAAATTATTAGTTGCTCTTCCTACTAATTTACCACAAGTATGATTTCCTGCTCACGCATTTCTAAAACTTTTCATTTATACCCACTACATTTGCATCATCATACCTCTTTTCCCTCCTAAGGTCAAAACAAAATCAGTGTCTAAAACATACCACTAAATTAACTGACCAAAATGTGAAATATTTTACTTTATACACTATATTCTAATCTTTTCTGACTATATATTTTCCCCATTTGATATAAACCTAAGATCTATCTAAAATTTTATTATTACTACTATTATTGTTATAATTATTTTGCAGTAGTAGGGAGTAAACCCAGAGCTTTTGCACTAAGCTATATCCTAGCCCTTTTTATGTTGAGACTGGGTCTTGCTAAGTCTCTAAATTTCCCAAGGTAAGTTCAAACATGAGGGCTTCTTGCCTCAGCCTTCCAGAATATACCACCACATCCAGCTCAATGAGATAGTTCTTGGTATATCTGTGAACTAGCTGGCTTCTCCTTTGCTGCACACAATATCCAAGATTCATTACTTAAGAAAGAAAAGTTTAATTTAGCTCAAGATTTGGGGGAATTCTGTTCCCATTCAGCTGGCTCCAAGGCACTAACATCATAGCAGAAGAGCATGGTGGACCAAAGCTGCTTAGCTTGTGGCAGCACAGAGTAGACAAGGGACCGTATGTGATAACTAAGAGATCATGACCCTGTAATACACACAGACACACTTAGGAGCTTGCTCTACTAATCTGCTAGGAGCTCCTTCATCCAATACAGCTGACATATCAGGATTAAAGGAAACAACCTGTTAAGAGGTTATCTAAACAAAATGGCTCTGTGCATGTATGCAATATTCTACAATCAGTTATTTTTTTACACTTAATGTTCATACTATCTGCTTACATATCTGTATTATACATAACTAACTATCTTGTATGAATGTCTTCTAAGGGCTATAGCTTACTTTTCTCTGAAGCCTGTCATGGCCTAGCAGTAATACAGGAACAAATAAAGAATAAAGTTAAAGAATAGTTTCCCTAGTTTCAGAGATGGTGAATAGAACTAACAACTCATATCTGTGTGTGTGATCATTTCAATATTCTAGAAAAATATAAATATCTGTCCTTTTCTTTCTGTATTCCCAGGCTCTTCATTTTTGTTTAGCTTTTTTCCTTGATGAAGGAAATCCAAAGTTTATATGTAATACTTAAAAGTTAGAGGAGAAATTCCTCCACCCCCTCCCCAGTCTGACAACTACACCATTCTTCACCTTCACCAGGAATGAGATCATTTGCTGCTTCATTTAGGATTCTACTCAGAAAAGTAGAATATATACTAAGTGATGGGGAGAAAGAAAATGAGTAATAAGAATACAGAGGGGAAAGTGAATTTTTTTAGAAGAAAAAAAAAGGAGGGGGATAAAGAAGACAGAACAACACTGGGACACCATCGGGATTATACTACAGATTTGTTTGAGGTAGAATTAAGCTCTGGGGGAAAAAAGTGATTTGGAGGCTTTTCAGATTTCTCCCTGACTTGCTGGCAAGAGAGTTTCAGTAGATTACTACAAGTCCAAAAATTCCATGATGCTAAAGCTGTCAGGAGATTTCTACATGTATACACACTTCTGTTCTCTTTTAACCATGTAGGTACAGGCAAAGGTAATTGTGTTGTACATTGCTTAAATGACCAATTGCCCCCAAAGCAGA